ACAATATATACATGCTATGGTATTGGCTAAAGTGACTTGGATATAAATTCTAAACAGTGAATGGGGGGAGGGAAGGGGGGGAGGTTTAGAAACTTTATTAATTGACTTTTACTTAAAAGATGTCATAAAGGTGTAATGTTATTGGAGGATTTTTTGAAATCGCTAATGAATGCCATTATGTGGTTGTGTCTTACAGATTTGAGGTAAAAACATGTTCAAATAATTTTAGTCAAATGAGAATTGTGGTACATTGATAGTAAAACGTATCAAAGGTTTTTGATTTAAAGTGTGTAATCTAATATGAACTATAAGTAATGACTGTGGAAGAAATATTCAATGCTTAAGGTGTTGGAAATTAAGCTAAAATGGGATTAAATGATGATTAAGATTGTATATTTTAATGTTGGCACAAAATATTTATACCCAGACGACACACTGGTTAACGGAAAATGCAAAAGCCCTGCACCCCTACGCATGTGCGCCCCCCACGCATGTGTGACTTACCTGCGCGCCCCCATCCCTCATGCATGCGCTTGCAACCTCACCGTGCCCCATTTTGGGCTTAATAGGCAGTCTCCTGGGACCCAAAATCATCCGGGGGGGGCGCCATTTCCCCCACAATACCCCCTGTGCATGCATGTGACACCCCCATCTCCCCCGCACATGCACGCACATTTCCCGCATGCTCCGCCCCGTGGCAGAGACCCCAAAATCAGCTGGCTGGCGGGAGGTGGCACGCATGCGCGGTGGAGCTCAGCTGGGGCGACACATGTGCCAAGGTTCCCCATCGCAGCTCTACACCAATGTTATGGTTTAAAACCTGAATGAAGCCGTGAGAGTCCCTCAAAAGGTACTTAAAGGGGATCTGTAGATTAACAGCGTTGGAAGGGACCTCGCAGATCATCAACCCCAATCCCCTGCCCAAGCAGGAGACCCTACTCATCAATGATACGATTTAAATCTTGAATGAAGCCTTGGAAGTCTTTAGATCGAACAAAGCAGAGGCTTGACTGTCTGTCAGTCTTCCTAAAAATGCCCTCATTGATTCATAATCATCATCGAGTCAAGTTTCCAATACAAAACCAGCTATTTATTAGGAGCTCCCTTAGGCAAGATCTGTTCGCAGTCAAGCCTCTGCTTTGTTTGATTTATCTCTGAACTTTACCCCTGTTCCTTCCCTCCCCTCAGTCTGTGTCATAAATCACATTACCCTATAAGATGCACTCCTCCCAAACCGGCTGCCGTAATCTGAGATCCGACTCCAGCTGACATGCGTGGAATGCACTCCCCGCCCCCCCTTCTGTCCCCATGACAACACTGAGAGTTGACACCGTAATCTAAGGACCCCCGAATCAAACACAGATAGAAATTTGGGGTCCCCCATGCCCGTTCAGTACCGTTTCACCCTTCGTCCTTCTTCACGTCTCTTTCAGATGGATTCTGGGGATCCAGGATCCTTGAGCAAAACCTGATCGACGTCTTCGTGCCCTTCCTCCCTCTGCGACGGCACCACGTGAAGCAGTGTGTGGTCAGCGAGATGTCCAGCCAGGGTCTCCCCCCTCGCCCGGAAGTAGTGGAAAGCGTGGCCGACAGCTTTTCCTACTTCCCCGAGGAGGAAAAAATCTTCTCGTCCACCGGGTGCAAAACGGTGTCTTCCCGCATCCCGTTTTTCTTATGACCCCCGCGTTGGGTCAGGCGTTTTCGGTCCGGAATGGAGCTTACGGTTTTCTTGTAAGCGAAAACCCCTTTGTGGGTCACGGAAAACAGCCGTTGGACTGAAGGACTTAAAGACGGGGCCTTTCGGAAAAGCAAAGAATGATGCTTTGGATCAAACGTTTTCCTCTCCTTACAAACGACTCAGAATCTGGATTTTTTTAACTCAAAAAAAGAGAGAGAGAGAGAGAGAGAGAGAAGATTGTGTGATGCATTTTACATGGGGAATCTCCTCTGCTTTTAAAACATGGTTTCTTGGGAGGTTTTACAGGTTTAGTGCAGTTGAATGAATTCGTTTTTCTGCGGAGTCTTAAAATCCTACCTCTCAAGTCAAGGATTATTCTGTGATTTCATTTTGTTTTTATCCAATAAGCTGTATGTTAGGATTCTTAATTCAGCGATGGGGTGTTGTTATTTTATTGCAGGGGAATTCCTCGGTGGTGTCAACCAGAACGTGATGGAGGCTGAGATGCAGGTTGCTGTTAAAAAGTTACACAAAACACAGCTGCTTTTAAAAGATGTCACATCAACAACAGGATTGTTATTCTTTTAGGTTTCAAGAACACACCAGCTAGAGAGATAATCTTTCTTTCTTTCTTTCCCTTTCTTTCTTTTACTTTCTTTCTTTCCTTTCTCTGTCTTTTCTTTCTTCTTTCTTTCCTTTCTCTCTCTTTCTTTATGTCTGTCTTTTTTTCTTCTCTTTCCCTTTTTTTCCCTTTCTCTCTGTCTTTCTTTTTTCTCTTTCTTCTCTTTCCTTTCTCTCTCTTTGTCTCTTTATGTCTGTCTTTCTTTTTTCTTTCTTTTCTTCCTTTTTCTTTCTTTCCTTTCTCTCTCTTTCTCTTTATGTCTGTCTTTCTTTTTTTCTCTTTCTTCTTTTTCCTTTCTCTTTCTGTCTGTCTTTCTTTCCTTTCTCTCTCTCTCTCTTTCTTTCTTTCTTTCTTTCTTTCTTTCTTTCTTTCTTTCTTTCTTTCTTTCTTTCTTTCTTTCTTTCCTTTCCTTTCCTTTCCTTTCCTTTCCCTTTTGGTGCAGAGAGCAGAACGGCCAACTTGAATAGTTAAAAGAGTCAGAATAATATATTGAAATCCACTCTTTCTTGAGTGCAGTTACTGTCAGGGTTCCAAAATAAAATAAGAATCCGAGGCAAGAGATTCCTCAAAGTTCCAATTAAGAGAGCCATGTTGGCACATCTGGAAAACCTGAATATGAAAGCTTCTTGGTTTTCCCCCACCCAGTTGAAAGTTCAAGATCTTGGCCCCCACATCCACAAGTCCATCCCATGGTCCAATCTCCCACTGCCACGAAGACAGATTCCTCCCAGTTCCAGCTAGGTGCAGAGACAAAGTCGACCTTGACTTTCAGAGAAGAATGTTGTTATGGCTACATATCGCCCAACTCCACATGATCCCCCTCTCAGTTTCCCACGATAGAAAGTGTGGCAGGCCTTGAAGTCCAACAAGAAAAGATGGCTTGCAAGTTTGATAGCTACCCTGTTTCCCCCAAAATAAGAACTTACTGAAAAATAAACCCTAGCATGATTCTTCAGGATGCTCATAATATAAGCCCCCCCAAAATAAGCCCCAATTAAGGTCAACCAGACGGATGCATTTAGTGCCATATTTCCTCGAATATAAGACCTAACCAGAGAATAAACCCTAATGCATCTTTTGGAGCAAAAATGAATATAACATCCAGTCTTATTTTTGGGGAAACACAGTAGTTTTAAAAGGCAGGGAAGGTGAGAAGTAGCGATTTATTTTACTTTTTAATCATGGAAATGTATGGTGGCTGAGCGAAACTAGGCCATTGCGAGGCGTGCTATCCAGATTCGAATCCACGGCCCACAAAAATTTGGGACCCATTTTAGAGAAAGATGGGAGGGCAGATCTCAAAAGAATCTCTCAACTAAAGGTAAAAGGTCAAGGTTCCCCTCGCATATCTGTGCTAGTCATTCCCGACTCTAGGAGGGCGGTGCTCATCTCCGTTTCAAAGCTGAAGAGCCAGCGCTGTCCGAAGACATCTCCGGGGTCATGTGGCCGGCATGACTCAACTCCCGAAGGCGCACGGAACGCTGTTCCCTTCCCACCAAAGGTGGCTCCTATTTTTCTACTCGCATTTTTTACGTGCTTTCGAACTGCTAGATTGGCAGAAGCTGGGACAAGTCACGGAAGCTCACTCCGTTAAGTGGCGCTAGGGATTCGAACCGCTGACCTTTCTGATCGACAAGCTCAGCATCTGAGCCACCGCGTCCCCAAGCTCCTCCTTATTCTGGTTTAGCACTGGACTGAACGAAAGCACAATAAATGTGAAAAACCTGGACATACCTTAAGGTCTTCGAAAAGTTTGCTTTATTGAAACGAAAAGCAGGGAAAGCACAACTTTATATACCAAGCCTTTCCCAGAGTCTAAAAATATATATAATGCAACAGAAGTTAGTTGCATTTTTCCCGCTTGCAGTTTTCCAATATTCCAAGCAATTATTAGGGGGAAAAGATTTATTCCGGTGGTAACTTGCTTCATCCCGCTGGGTAGACTTTTCCCTGGAGGTGTGTGAACCACAAGTCACTCAGGGCCTTGAAAGGAAAGAGGGATGGCATCACACTCCCTTTCCAAGATTTCGGGCTCTTGGTTACAAAAAAACGAAATCTCTTAGCCGAGCAAAATCAGGCCAAGGGATCCTAAATCTTTTCGCGGTGAATCCAGATTGTTTGGGTGGTGTTAAGCCAACAAGGCATTTGACTAGAGAAACCTGTTCGCTTGATTCCCTAGAAATTCAGGATATTTTTGGGAGAAAAAGCAAGGGGGGGGGAGTTCGATCCCCAGGCAATGCTTTGGACAGGCCTAAAACTGACCGACGCCTTCTTAGGATTTCCTCCAGCAGTACGGTTCCTTGGGGCACTCCTTGGGAGGCGGACGAGAGCAGGGCTCTACCCAGATGGTTTTGGATTCCAGAGTTGGCTTGTTTTGACGGGTTTCGTTCAGCTCTTCGTTTGCCTGCGAGACACACGGGACAAGTTCGACTCAAACTGGAGGCAGCCGGCAGGCAGCAGAAGTAGCCTGCAGGACTGCACTCTAACCACAGTGCCACCACAATAGGTAAGAGAGAGACAGAGAAACAGCAATAGCCCTTCAATTTATATATTGCTTTACAGTGCTTTACAGCCCTCTCTAAGCGGTTTACAGAGTCAGCCTTCTGCCCCCCAACAATCTGGGTCCTCATTTTACCCACCTCGGATGGATGGAAGGCTGAGTCAACCTTGAGCCGGTGAGAATAGAACTGCTGGCAATGGGCAGAATTAGGCAGCAATGCTGCATTTTAAACACTGTGCTACCATGGCTCTTAGATTAGATGGATGGATGGATGGATGGATAGACATATATACTACTTTACAGTGTTTTACAGCCCTCTCTAAGTAGTCTACAGAATCGGCCTCTTGCCCCCAACAATCTAGGGTCCTCATTTTACCCACATCAGAAGATGGAAGGCTGAAACAACCCTGAGCCAGTGAAAATCAAACTGCTGGCAGTGGGGATTAGGCAGCAATGCAACATTTTAAACACTGCCACCAAGGCTCTTAGATTGGATGGATGGATGGATGGATGGATAGATAAGTAGGCAGGCAGACAGACAGACATAGATAGCAATAGCAGACTTATATACCACTTCACAGTGCTTTCCAGCCCTCTCTAAGCAGTTTACAGAATCAGCCTCTGGCCCCCAACAATCCAGGTCCTCGTTTTATTGACCTCGGACGGACAGAAGGGACTGAGTCAATCTTGAGCCAGGGAGGTTCGACCTGCTGGCAGTGGGCATAATTAGCCTGCAATGCTGCATTCTAACCACTGGGCCACCACAGTTCATGTGTTAGAATTGTTGGCCTCTTGGCTTTTGAACTGGGCTGAGGGGTGAGACCTCACAGCCTCCAGGCAGAGCTAAACTCCGCTGGCCACACCCTTTCTTCTGTGACTCGTAGGGTTGGAAGGGAGCTTGGTGACCATCTAGTCCAACCCCCAGCCTCATACCATTCCCAGGCAAAAACTTTTCCGAAGGGGTGGAAAGTTAATCTTTTGTGGATGTTTTCAGCTGCAAAGAACTGGATGAAAAGATACAAGAGTAAATGCTGATCCAGTTTTTGTAGTAGCTGGATCGGCGACCCTCTACAACCTGTTAATGGTTCTCAGAGAGCTATGAAAAGCCCCCAAGTCAACTTCCAGGAACCACCTTATGGGAAAGATGGACGGCATAAGCTTTTAATAAGTAAATGAATAAAATGTCTCTCACGAGATCGGCACACTTTCTCTCCTGCTCTTTCTTCCATACTGAAGCTGTCTCCGACTTCAGCAGCTTTGATGGCTGCCTTGCAGCCGCCGGAAAAAAAGGCTTCTACTGGATCAACCAGGGACTTTGCAATGTCCCTGGGATCAGCAGAATGTGCCTTTCTCTGTCACCGTCTCTACGGGACGATTTAGGTCCAAAAGGACCGTCCAGCGGCAGAGATATTGACGGTGATCTTGGAGTTGCAAGATCATGCGTCGTACCACCGCAACGTCAGCCCCACCTTCCCCTCTCCAGTCTCCCGGCATAAGCTTTTAATAAGTAAATGAATAAAATGTCTTGTTTTCCTTCCAAGGGGTTGAGATACCTGGTGTGAGCTTTGCTGACATTCAGCCAGTCTCTTTTGCAGCTTTTTTTCTTCACAAACCTCCTCCTCCTTGGCCACTGACGTCTCGGCCTGCTGGTTCACAATCTGAACATACTCATTGGTTGGGGGTTCGGATCCTGCGGATTTCAGAGGCCTGGGAGGTGGTGGAAAAGCAGAGAGAGAGAGAGAGAGAGAGAACAATAGGGAAGAATGTGAGAGGGGAGAGAGGAAGATGAGAGGGGGGACAGAATGAGAGAAGAAAAAAGAGAAAGAGGAGAGAGAATGAGGGGAGAGAAGGAATGAGAGGAGAAAAGAGAGAGAGACAACAAGAGAGAGGAAAGAAAAAGAGGAAAAAAGAGAAAGAGGAGACAGAACCGAGAGAGAAGAGAGAATGGGAGAGAGGAAAGAACGAGAAAGAAAAGAGAAAAAGTGGAGAGAAAGAACAAGGAGAACAAGAGAGAGGAAAGAGAGAAAGGAAAAAAGAGAAAAAGGAGACAGAACAAGAGAGGAGAGAGAAGGAGAGAGAGGAAAATATGAGAGGAGAGACAAAGGATAGAGAATAAGGGAAGAAAGAAAGAGGAAACAAAACAAGAGAGAACGGGAGAGACAGAAGAGAGAGAGGAAAGAATGGGAGAGAAAGTATGAGAGGAGAGACAAAGTGGAGAGAGAATAAAGGAGAGGAAACAGAACAAGAGAGGAGAAAGGGAGAGAGAGGGGAGAGAGAAGAGGGAGAATAAGAGGGGAGAGAGAAAGAGGAAAGAAAAGAAAAAATGAGAGAGAGGGGAGACAGGAGAAGAAAAAGAATGGGAGACAGGAGAGAACGAGAGAGAGACAGACATGTCTCCATGGAAGCACCATGGATGCTTCTAGAAAAACGTCTCGCAGGAGATTGGCGGGGCAGACTCTGCCAAACACGCTTAAAATTATCCTCGTTCTGTATCAACTGGGTGTTATTAATTGGGCTGGCCTTAATTAAGGGACAGTGGGACTGAAAAGGAATGCAAGGCACCCACAGGGACCGAGGCAACGCAGAGATAAACAGGGCTCGTGCGCAGGGGAATCTCCCGGCTTCCAGACTATAACTCCCATCTGCTCCGGCAGGGTTGCAGCTTGTACTGGCCCGAAAGAAGGAAAGAGTTCCGTTCTCCCAACTGAACGAGAAGTTCCCGGGTGCCAATAAGAGAAGGGGGAAATGAGATGAGGGAGACCCCCCATCCCTCCAAAAACCCCATGTTTGGGTCTCCAGAAAATAATATAAACCTCCCCAGGGATTTCGATTCAATACCTCTGCAAGGCTTCCCCCCCGGGAAAAGACTTCAGTTTTCGATCCAGGAGTGTTTTGGTAAGATCCCCAACTTTGCTGCTGAGGAGGGATTCTGCGCTCTCTCCAGGAAAGAGGCTGGCCATCAAGCTCCGAACCTGGAATTAATGTATATGTATATTTAAGTGTTATGTCAAAGTACCTGGTATGCTCAAATATGGGAGGGAGCATACTGCTTCCCTTTTACCTTTCAGCTCCACCCTAGGAGCCTTCCAGGCAGGAAACCATTTTTGTGTTGCATTTTTGCTGATAAATAAATNTAGAAAAACAGGTACCATCTTTGGTGGGAAGGTAACAGCGTTCCATGCGCCTTTGGTGTTTAGTCATGCCAGCAACATGACCACGGAGACATCTTTGGATAGTGCTGGCTCTTCGGCTTTGAAACAGAGATGAGCACCGTCCCCTAGAGTCGGGAACAACTAGCACATATATGCGAGGGGAAACTTTACATTACCTAATTAGAGGATTACATGGAAAATAATAACATTAATATGCAATTCTCTCAGAAGGGTGGATGGGCAAGCCATTCAGCTGTGGCGGAGGGGAGGGGGCCACATTGTACCATTAACACATTGAATTCATTTTCAGAAGACTGATGGAATCTTGTTCATTTAGATGGTTTCAAATTACATTCCATTCATTTCTATAATTGAAGCCATCCAATGGAGGACTTATCTAGCAAAGTTATCTAAATTAAGGGACAAGCAGTTCTGACTGCAGGAATAATCACTTCTATTTCCAAACATTAAACAAAATTAATCTGCTCTGATTCATTCTCTCTCTCTCTCCCCCCTTCTCCTCTTTCCTGGAACACTTTTACTCAATTCCATACTCAACTACAAAAGGACTGATAGCTCTTTTACAACTTAATAAAAAGATGATTACTCCAAAGTGAACAGGTCATAAGGAACATCTTGTTAGAGAATAGGAGGCCCAGAAGGTGATGGGAATTCAGCTCTAGGACTAAACATGAAGACCTCCAGCAAAAATTGAACAAACCAGATTGAATTAGTTGGATAACATCCTTAGGGTGATCACATCACTGAGATAACATGGGGTGTTTTTGGTCTCTCGTAATGCTTTCTTTGATATATTTTAATACACATTTCTTTGTCGTTTGCATTCTTTCGTGTTGTGTTACAGTAGGAAAATTATGTTCAGATCGAGGTTTCGCGAGGGCATGAAGCAAACTCCTTGTCCCAACAAAGAACCCTTTTATTAATTGACTGTGAATTCTGCTCATTCACATCCAGCAAAGTCTTTCAAGGGAGGATTTAAAGTCCCAGACCTTATCTGGCTTGGAGAGCTGACAGGCCGATATCTGCAAAACTTAGCAAGGAGTCTCGGAGAGTCACAAACCATTTAAACAAACTAATTGTCTCCTCCAAATTCCACTCCCCTTTCGCTCCTCTTTTATTTCCTCTGGGAGGGGCCATTCATCGTCCACCTGTGGCCTTACTCCCAAGTCGGCCCCTGTTCTTTAGCTGTTCCCTTCATCTGGCAACTCTGTGAATGTGCACACTGGGAATGGGCTCCAATTGTTCCTCTGGTTCACTGATGTCTGATTCTGAAGGCAGCTGA